CCGCTCCCCCACTGTTTGCTCCTCTCCTTCAAACGCAAAAGAAAAACTCCCTCATTGGTACGCAATCCCCCACACATCCCCCAACCCCAAATATAATCCACTCTGCAACCCTCATTCTGTACTCTTACGATAAACATAATGCCCTAAAATATAAAATATTCTCTCCCCCAAAGACTTCAATGCTGTAAACATTTCATCTAGTTTTTCTCAGTCTTACCCCCATCCCGATGTCAGGCTGCCCTGGATGTGCTCACCAAGTTGTGCAATGAAATCTGGAGGACAACCGCCTGGCCAGCTGACTGAAAGAGATCTGTATTTGTTCCCATCTAAAGAAAGGTGACTCAACAGAGTGTGGAAATTATCGAACAATATCATTGATACTACATGCAAGCAAGATTCTGCTGAAGAGCATCCAAAAACAACTGGAACAGCACAGCAGAGAACTGTCTGAAGTGCAGACTGAATTTAGAAGAGGCCGTGATACTAGGGATATTATAGCTAATGTCAGATGGATCTTGGTTGAAAGCAGAGAGTACCAGAGGAATGTCTTTGTTTCATTGACTGTCCAAAGACATTTGACTCTGTAGATCACAACAAACTGTGGCAGACTTTGAGAAGAATGGGAATCCCAGAATACTTGATTGTGCTTATGTGAAACTTATACTTGAACCAAGAGGCAGTCATCAGAACAGAGCAAGGAAACATTGCATGGTTCAAAATTGGGAAGGGTGTGTGTCAAGGATGTGTCCTATCTCCATATCTTTTCAATCCATATGCAGAATAGATAATCTGTGAGAAGTGTGGCATTAGGATTGGAGGTAGACTTATCAACAGTTTGTGTTATGCAGACGACACAGCCCTGCTTGCTGAAACTGAGGGGGACCTGAAGCGCTTGCTGCAGAAGGTCAAGGATTGCAGCCTTCAATATGGATTGAAGCTCAACATCATGAAAAGAAAGATTCTCACCACTAGGCTGATTGGTAGCATCATGACAGATGGTAAAGAGATTGAGATTGTTGACAGCTTTAGTTTGCTTGGCTCCACAATCAATACTCTTGATTAAAGGAAATTAAAGACAAATTGCATTGGGAAAGTCTACTGTTAGAGACTTCTCCAAGGTACTGAGGAGCAACGATGTTAGTCTGGAGACTAAGTTGCGCCTCATAAGGCCATGGCCTTTGTAATTACTTGCTATGTGACAATGACTAGGGATGATAGGAGAGTTGATAACCTTTGAGCTGTGGTCCTGGAGAATAGTATTGAATATACCATGGACTGCTAGAACAAACAAGTTCATCCTGGAGAGGGTTAAACCAGGGTGCTCCATGGAGTCAAGGATTTTGAAGTTCCATCTGACATACTTGGACATGTTGCAAAGAGGGAGCAGTCCTTGGAGAGGAACGTCACGCTTGGGAGAGTAGGGGGACAGCGCAGGAGAGGAAGACTCCCAGTGAGATGGATTGATGCTGTCACTGTGGTAATGGGGGTAGGTGTGTCAGAGACAATAAGGTTGGTAAGAGATAGAGCAGGGTTTGAGGCTGTTGTATATAGGGTTGTTATGAGTCGCAAGCAGCACATAACAACAACATCTTTTTTTTTCAACATCTTTTGATTCATCGAATTGCTTTAAACCAACTCTGAGAAATAACTGCTAATTAAAACTAAGAATTAAGGACAAAGCTTATTTAATTCTCTAAGTACATAGTTCACAAAAGCCATAATATAGAACATCTACTGAGTGCCAGAAATATTTAAGAAAGACAAATAGTAATTTAGGGGATAACTGAGTCATCTGCCAGGGAAACATTTAGGTGTTACCTAGTATTATCAGGTTTCTAAATCTCTAAAAATACTGATAAATATTTTTGAAAGCAAAGTAACTATCATCAAGCAGTGTTTGCCTGCCAAAGGACATACTGTATATCTGGAAAGGATAGTAAATGGCTGTAAGAATAGACCTCATGGCCATCATGTCCGCTTATCTTTTCACATGCTGACACTCCAGTCTCACTGTGGAGTCATAACTGGTGCACAGCTGACCTCTCTGCTGGGTTTCTAGGGCTGTGTGAATTGTATAGGAGAGTGCCCATTTTTCTCCCCCAAAGTCAGTGGTGGATTCAGATTGCCTTTAGTTTAACAGTCGAACAGCCTATGGACAGGTCCCTAGAGCTTCCTGTAAGCTTTGAGCATTTTAAAATCTAAATAGAAACCTTTATAATTCCAGTGTAAGTATTTTAGTCTCACAAGGGACTATTAAAAATATTTGAGTTTGTGATTAGGGTTAATCCTGAGACTATGGATAGAACAGTATGCATTATGTAAAAGGGTCTGAGTATTGCCCTGGTTTATAGACAAGGGGGAAAAAGGAGTGGAAGGAAATTATCCTTTGTAAAGTAATTCTTAATGAATAAGAAATTCTTATGTCCACCTATCCCCTTTTTTAAAGTAAGGTTTGGGTTTGTGGTGGCCAGGTACTAAAAGTACTTTAAGAAAAAAAAAAGACTTAAGTATATAGCATAATTTTTCGTATATATCATCATGTAATTGCATTTCTTTTCACTTTAAAGCAAGATGGAAAGTTGCCTTTTGTTCCTCTGGAGGAAGAAGTTATTATGGGAGTTTCCAAATATGGTATAAAAGTGTCCACATCAGACCAGTATGTAAGTATATAATTTATGAAGGAAAAAATATGTGTTGGATATTAGGGCATTCATGCCTGTAAGGACCTATTCATAGGCTTGATTCTGTTTGCAGTTGTTAGTTAACATTTCTGGCAGCAGTTGTTAAACGTGATCAATTTGGTGGGTGAAGAGGCTCTCTTTTGTATTTGCTGTCCAGACAGGCCCCTCCAGCATCTCTACTAATGACTTCTAATGCATTTTAACTTAGGCCTGCCACGTCAGTCACAGCTTGGAGGTGGGCATTGCTAACCAGGGGTGTGCCAGTAGATCACGTACGCCCACATTTCTAGAGCTTTTGATGGTATGATCCTGAAGACAAAGCACCCCACAAAGACCATACGAGAAAATCCCTTTACAGTGAAAAATTTATGCAACTCTGCTTTGCCAAATGTGGATATTCTGTCTGAGAGGCTTACAGGAAATGCGTTTGAAGAACTGAGATACAATTAGCATAGTCGTGACCTTTCTGGATTTTCACTGATTTCTGCAGGATGTTTTACATAGACATGCTCTCTATTTAATCATCCGGATGGTGTGTTATGATGATGGTCTGGGGGCAGGAAAAAGCTTATTGGCTTTGAAGACCACAGATGCAAGTAATGAAGAATACAGCCTCTGGGTTTATCAGTGCAGTAGCCTGGTGAGATTTTAAATTACCTTTTGTTAGATTATTAGTTCATTTATTCAAGTGGCAAAATGCAGAAATACTATATTCAGTTTTTTGAAAGCCTGCTGAGATGCTAATCTATTTTATGTATCCCATTCCTGGAATAATAACAGTTAGTGAATATTAGGTACAGTAGCAGTACTCTCTTGTCCCTGTTGGTGAAGTTTTGCTGCTAACCCAGAGGTAGGCCGTTCGAATCTATGAAGAGATCCAAGGGAGAAAGATGGAAATTTCTTATCATACCATTTATAGCCTCCAAAAACTTGTTAGAAGGTCAGCTGTGAGTCGGTTCCGACTCGACAGCAGTACATTTGAGGTGTGTGCTTTGTTTTTTTTTTTAATAGGTATGATCATGTGGTTCATTTATTTTATTTATATAATGGATTATATTGATTGTTTTTCTAATATTTAACCATTTAAACCTGATAGGATTGTCACAATGTATTACTTTTAAAAAATATATTGGTTTGCTTACAAAATTTTTATTGTGCTTCATAATAGTCTTCAAATTGTGTTTCATATAATCATTTCCATGCATTATGTTTTATAAAATTAATCACCATTGAACCTTGCCCATAATTAACTTTTCAGGTTTTTTAAAAAATATAACCTATGAGGAAAGCAGCCTTGTATTTATAGTGGTCCTTATCAGTGCAGTGATAGTCTTTCTCACATGCTGTAGGACCAAGGGGTTTTCTTTGGATATATGCTTTTTTTTGAAGGAGAGCAGAAAGGGCCCCTTGTGCATGGGGCACCCGGGTATGTAGTCTGTAACCAGGGCAGGCATGTGTAGTGTGTTTCCCCAAACCTGAGGTGTTAGGTATGGAGAAGGGGTTGAGATTAAATTTACAACCTTTGCTGGTCATCATGTCAAATGAAGTTTAAGAAGTGATTTTATAAACATTGCTCTAACGTTTTGTTTTCACATGATACAGGAACAAGCACAAGCAATTTGTAAAGTTTTATCCACCGCTTTTGACTCTGTCTTAACATCTGAGAAATCCTGAGTTCTGCAATCAAGTGAAGTCATCTTCATTTGAAAGTTCATTTGCATCCTAAATAGTTAATTTGTTTCAATCAGCAATGTGGAAGTATTGTGGAAACTGAAAGTCACCCCTTGTTCTGGATTTTATCAAGAAAATGCAATGTATAAAGTATCGATAATTTGTTTTTATATTAAAATGTGTCTTAAACAGCATGTTAACTCTCAATGAACTTTTTTTCTGGGGTTAAAAAAGAAACTTCACTTGTTATATATGTATAGACGCTTAACACTTTGAGTGTAATTACAGGTCCATTCAGCGGATAGACAGAGAACTTGTCTAAGGAAAATGAATGATGCAGCAGCACTGGCTTGGAGCCGTGTTGACAGTGGCTGTCTTGTCAGTTCCAGCTTACGCAGCCCCACGTGTGCAGGACTGTTCCCCAGGACTTCAAAGCTCTGACCTTTTGGTCCAAGATGCTTGTAGGTAGGTTTGAACTGGCAGCTTTGCTGTCAGTAGCTAATACTTGTTTGTGCCTGAAGCTCTAGTAAGTCACAAAGTTTGTACTAGGGACCTGGGTTCATGCTGTTTTCATACAGTGACACAGCCAACTAAATACACAAAAATAAATTTAAAAATGTATTGGCAAGATAATCTGTGTACGCTAGTTTTTATGTCAGAGTTAAAAACTTTCAGGATCACCGCTCATACTCAAAGTACCCTGGAATCTCACAGACCATCAGCAAGCCTATGGACCGAATGCGGCTGCCCTATGATTTCCAAGGCTGTAATCTTAAGGATTGTAGGAGCCCTGGTGGCCTAGTGGGAAGAAGCTGCGCTGCAATCCTAAAACCACAAGGTTCGATCCACCAGCTGCTCCATCAGAGAAGGATGGGCAGTCTCCTCCTGTGCCATTAACTGCCTCTGAAAACCTGCAGAGGGTCAGTTGTGGGTTGTTTCTGACTCTACGGGACACAACAACCATCCTTAGAGAAGCGGGCTTCTCTCTCTCTCCCAGGGAGCAGCTGGTAGGTTTGAACTACTAACCTTTGGATGAGTAGCCAAGTGCTTAACGATCATACCATCAAGGCTTATTATTGTCTTCAAGGAGGACCGTCTTCTGGCTCTTAAGTGCATAGCAGGTGACTGAGAGGATCATGGCCTGAATCAAACACACCTTCGTCCCTCAAGCTGATATCATTGATCCTCAGCAGTTTGGAGAAGTTCCTCACTACAAATTTTGCTAGTGCAAAACGTCTCCTGATCTCCTGACTGCTGTTAGCAAGTTTTTTGATTGTAGATTTAGCGAGGTGAGATAGAGTCGCTGACAGTTTCAATCTTTCATCCATTATAATGTTGCTTATTGGTCCACACCTTTCTTGATTTTAAACCATGCAGTGTGCCCTTGCTTTGTTCACCCAACAGCCTTTTGATCTAGGTATAGGTTTCACAAGAGCACAATTGTTTTGGAATTCCCATTCTTATCAAGGTTAATCATAATTTATTATGATCCACATAGTCAAATGCCTTCACACAGACAGGAAAAAAAAAAAGACTGTCTTAATAGTGGCCCAATGCCCACTAAATAAAAGGGGGGAGAGAGGTTAATCATAGGGTCACACAATTTGATAGGTGGAGGGAGGGCTGAGTAAAGGAAAAGAGAGATCCAGTTTGAAAAAGTATATACCAACAAGTAAGTAAACCAGTATAAAAGAAAAAATTTATTTTAAATAGGGGGTGGGTGGGTGGGAGAGGTTTAGCCCCCCTGAGGGAGAAAGAAGTAGTCTGTTCCTGTAAAGATTTATAAGCCTCAGAAAGATGATAGAGGGTCACTATGCATTGGAATTGACATGCAAGCTGTTAGGGTTTCCCCCCCTTTTTCTTGAGAGTATCTTAATACATTCAGGAGCACTGGTAGCTAGTAAGTTATGTCTTGGGCTGCAAACTGAAAAGCTGGCAGTTCAAATGCACCATCAGCTCCACAGGAGAAAGATGGTGCTTTGCTCCCACAGTGATGTACAGCCTTAAAAATCTGATGGAGGGCCAGTCATCATGAACTGAAATCATGTTGATACCGGTGGGTTTAGTTTTGGTAATCGTCTATAACATTTTGAAGAAAACAACACAACATGTAGAAAAAACCCCATTTCCATTTAAAAGTGTTTTTATTTTTTCCAGTCAAATGACTAGTTAACAAGGAGAGTAAACTTATTAAACATGCTCTAATTATAAATCACTGCATTAAGGACAATGAAAATAAGAATTGATTTAGGTTATACAATATATACAGTTGCTCTGCAACTAGACCAAAATAATCAAGTGAATGAATTGAATATCATACATCTCAAATAGCATTCCAAGCTGCATATTATGTTATCCATCTTAACAGTAACACAGGAACTTAGTCTGTGCATGGATCTTGAGTCTTTGTCCCTTGAAGTCATCTGATGGAAATGGCACTCAAAATGCCAGAATCTTGCAGCTGAAGTTCATGAAACATAAACTTTAAATATAAATAGATATCTACAATGTTTTTCTTTCAGGTTTTTTTTTTTTAATTTGCAAAGAGCAAATACCTAAGAAAAATTATTAGTAGGGAAGTTAATATAATTTCTCTTCTGGCAAGAATAATATTAATTACTGCACAATAGCACCACCAAATTGTAGACTGGAAAAATATTTCCTAGATATTCATGTACCAGTGAACCTGATAGGCTAGCATGGGATTGGAGTTCAAATGCTGACATAAATCTGACCTAAACCTTTAATTCTTTATATAGCTGGCACTAGGTGGTCAAAGGCTGACTATAAGTTAGAGATGCTAGAAGATTGTGTTAAAATATACATAAGAAGTGCACTGTGCAAAATACATCTGTTTGCTTTGTTATAGCTATGAATTAAAAACAAAAGGATCAAAACAAGGGAAATGAACAATCAGTTAAAATAGATGTAGTGCTTTATAAAAACAAAACAAAACTTTAATTACAGATCTAACACATTTTTACCCAGAGCTTTTGAAAGGAAAAGAACAGAATTTCCATACAACATGATAAAACATTCCAGTTTGTTTGGAATTTTTAATGCAATTTAAAAAACCCAAAGTCTACACCTACAAGAGACGTGCATGCTAAATGCAGGCTGCTTCAATCAAATGGACCAGCCTAACACGCAGGAAGAGCATCGCTGCTTCACTTCCCAAGCCTCTACTTAAATTTGTTCCTTTACTTTTTGGTAAGAATCCAAGTGGGCATTATCTATCAATTCTCAGAAGGTGCCCAAACCCCCAGCTTTCCTACAGCATGAATCTTACATTCACAATTACTAAATAGAGGTATGACAGTCAAGTTCGTGAAACTGATGAATTTTTGCTTGAGCATGTATAACCTAATTTCCCCTCCCAGTAGCTTAAATTGTAAGAATATTATTATGAACTTAATACTAATGTTGGAATATTTAAGAGTATTACTGGGGACCTACAGATTTCTGATATGCTCTTGATTACAAACAGATGGACAGATTAAATTTCAAGACAGTGTAACTACCATTCCTGTTGATATATAAATACAAGACACTAAATCGAGTAAACATTTTCATGTGCCAGAAAGGGAAGGCAGTGGTACACTCAACAGGAATCAGCAGTTAAGATGTGTTACCGGCATGGTGTGCACCACAACATTCTATCGGTGTATAGTAGCTTTCTGTGTGTGATTAAAAGTTCAAGAAGGCAGATTCCAAAACACATAAAGCATATAACTAAAGAACTGCTTTTTGCAATCCATCATCCTTAGTTTTTCACCAAATTCAGGAAATGCAGTTTTTATGTAGCTTCCTGGAACTGAGTGAACTGCTATTCTCATATGCTGTAACTGAACCATAAGAGGTTTTGTTAAGTATGATTGCTCACAATAACAGGTTATACACACATGCAGAATATAATGACAGCTGCAAACTCACAAATTAGAGCTAGAAAGTACAATACTAAGGTGTAAATGTTGAAATGTCTTTAAATAAACAAATTGGGTAGATTCAAAGGAATCCAGGTGCTTTTACGGTGAACTGATGCCATTTTATCTACAATGCCTAGGGCTGGGTTATGGACTTCAGAAGCAAGAGTTTACTGGCTTCCAAACTAATAACTGCTCTACAGGTCACTGAATCAGGCCAAAAATTAAAAGCTGGAAGTATTTCTTTCCAGTACTCTGGATTTCAACATTTTTAGGTTTTCCTAATTCTGTACATTCAGGATCTTGATTCTACATTAAAATTAATGGCTCAGTTCACCTTTTAGGAAATACTTGTTTTTACTGATAAAAGTTTAGCAATATTTCATGAGAACCACAACTTATAAAAACAATTCATATATATATATATATATATATAAATTGCCTTTGAGTATTTAAAAACAGAACAGTGGCATCAGAGAAAGTGGGCTACAGTACATAACAATTCATGAACTGATTGGCAAGTGTTTTGGTACCAGTAATGCAACAGAAACATAAATAACAACTATTGTTGTTTTGTTCAGTAGCAATTTAGTCAGCAATAAAGTGCACAAATGATACAGGAAATGCTCCTTTGCGACTGGGATCTCCTTCAATATGGCCAATCTGAAAAGAAGGAAAGTTTAGGCTATTAGATAAAGTTCATATGTTGGACGTGTCAAAGGGCATTTAGCATTTGGTTAAAATGTTTTTAGATGAATCTATTTTGAGAGTACTTTGGGTAAAAATTGCAACTATTTATTTTTCCTTTGTTTCAATTCACTGTTCAAATCCTTTGTGCCTATGATGTTAGAAGGGACTTTCCGTAGAGAGGCCTCCTGGGTCCATATGAGGGTCCTCACACCAGCGAACACCCTTCAGTACTACAAGCAATGGTGGAAGCAGACAGCACAGCTATCATTTACCAACACTCTACTCTTGCCTTTTTCTTTTTTTAATTGGATGACTCAACTGAGTATTAGAAAAGTTTGTGAAAGATGGGGCTTGACCCTATTGAAATTTAATCTAGCATTTAAGGAAAATGTAAATCTTACATTACACAAAATGTGGCTGACTCTGAGAAGAATGGGAATCCCAGAGCATTTGATCGTTCTAATGCGAAATCTATACTTGGACCAAGAGGCAGTCGGCAGAACAGAGCAAGGGAACACTGCATGGTTCAAAATTGGGAAGGAATGCATCCTATCTCCATACCTTTTCAACCTGTATGCAGAACAGATTATCTGAGAGGCTGGGATCTATGAGGAGAAATGTGACATCAGGATTGGTGGAAGATCTATCAACAATCTGCGTTATGCAGATGACACAACCCTGTTTGCTGAAACTGAGGAGGACCTGAAGCGCTTGCTGCAGAGGGTCAAGGACTGCAGCCTCCAATATGGATTGAGGCTCAATGTCAAGAAGACAAAAGATTCTCATCATTGGACCAATTGGCAGCATCAGGATGGATGGTGAAGAGATTGAGATTGTTCACAGCTTTAGTTTGCTTGGCTCCACAGTCAACACTCTTGGCACCAGTAGCCAGGAAATTAAAAGGCGCATTGCCATGGGAAAGTCTGCTGTTAGGGACCTCTCCAAAGTACTGAAGAACAATGGTGTGTCTCTGAAGACTAAGGTGCGTCTGATACAGGCCATGGTCTTTGCAATCACTTGTTATGCATCAGAGAGTTGGACAATGACCAAGGAGGATAGAAGGAGAATTGATGCCTTTGAGTTGTGCTGGAGAAGAGTATTGAGAATACCATGGACTGCTAGGAAAACAAACAGATTCATCCTGGAAAGGGTTAAACTGGGTGGCTCCTTGGAGGCAAGGATTCTGAGGTTCTGTTTCACATACTTTGGACATGTTGTGAAGTGAGACCGGTCCTTGGAGAAGGACATCATGCTTGGTAGGGTGGAGGGACAGCGCAGGAGGGGAAGGCCCTCTATGAGATGGATTAAATGACTAGCGTAATCAGGATGGGAGTGTCAGAGACAGTGCGACTGGTACAGGACAGCAGTTTTGGGCTGTTGTACATAGGGTTGCTATGAGTCGCAAGCAACTCGATGGCACATAATAACAACAACAACAAATCTTACTTTCATTCTGGGTAAGTTACATATTGACCATGATCTTGTGATGTGCCACTGAATCGGTTGGGACTCACAGTGACCCTATACACAGTGGCTCTGAACTCTGCTCTATCCTGAGTCAGTCTTAGCATCTCTGACACATTCCTCTCATTACTCCGTTTACTGCATCAATCCATCTCATCCTGGGTCTTTCTCTCCTGCGCTGTCCCTCCACCCATCCAAGCATGATATCCTTCTCCAAAGACCTGCCCCTTCTGGCCACATACATGCTCAAAGTACGTGAGATGGCATCTCAAAATCCTTGCTTGCCTCCTAAGAGCAGCTTGGCCTCACCCTCTCCAGGAAAGACCTTTTCATTTTCTTGGCAGTCCAGGGTATGCAGATCCAAGTCTTGCCAGAATACAGGGGCTTTCTTTGGAGGCAAGGAGGATGATTTAGCATATGGGTGGTATTCTTTATACGTCTGTGTCTTCCACTTTATATGCCGACGTAAACAAGTTATTTAATTATATTATTCTTGTTCTAGGAAGCTCTTGTGGCTTAGTGGTAAGGAATTGCGCTGCTACCCAAAGGCACGCAGTTCAAGTCCACCAGCAGCTTGAGAAAAGTTGATGAGCAGTCTCCTCCCATGTGATTGCTGCCTCTGGAAACCTGCTGGAGGGTCAGCTAGGAGGCTACAAACAGTAACATTCTCATGTGATAGCGATTGCCTCTTAGGGGGAACTTACTGTACCCCTGAGTTCACATATCTTTACAGCAGTGCTGTGGGCTACTTCTCTTTGACAGCTCATACCATGAAAGTTTAAACAGAAGGACAACTTTCTCATGAATGGCAGTTTGAATTCTTGTTTATCGAGCTTGAAACCCCTTCCTTGTTCCTTCCACCTTCATCCTTGTATGCCAACCCAGGATGTCTGAGGGGACCCACAGCTAGTTTCAGAACCAAGACCAACACCCAGGGATTCTGCCTCTGGGTCAACCCTTCTCTTGACTCCACTGAACTAGTAATGGAGGAAACACTGTAAAGGGCTTTACTGCTGACTCTTCCATTGTGCTTTGGAAACTGAGTGTGGAGTCAAACACAAAATGAATCAAGCCTACTCTGAAATAGATGCAAGTGGAGGAAGAGACATTGGAGGGCATGAGGACAGGCAGTAGTCAGAAAGGCCTGTGGCCTGGAGCAGCACAACTGTGGACTCTGGGGTGGAGGTGACCCCATGTGAACACCCCTCCTGGGGCTGATGGGCAGGAAGGAGTCAGCCCAGGTCCCCAGGACACCTCACAGAACCAGCCCAGACTCACCCACCACTCTTGATCTTCTTCCCCGTCCACAACAATCACATCTCCCTCGGAGAAGGTCAGCTCATCTGGATTGTCGGCCACACAGTTATAAAGGGCCTTCACCCTTTTTGGCTTTGATTTTGTCTGGGTTGAAAGAAAGGAGAGAAATGTCACTGTGATAGGAGGCACAGTTCTTAGGGCAAAGTACTGGGACACTTCCAGCTGGCTTCAGAGGTCCCTGTAGCCAAGGCCGGAAAACCCGTAAGAAGTCAGCATGCCAGTTCGACGTAGCTCAAGCCAGCAAGAGCCAAGGGGAAGAATGAGGAGAAGACACCATCAAAAAGGCCAGGGCACAGGAACTCGGAAGTGAAGCAGCCAGCGTAGGGTGGCGATGTGGCCTATGTGTGTGTCAGGAGCTGTGAAGAGATGGCCACACTGGCCGGCTGCTGAGCTTCACAGCATTCTGCCGAGATCCAGGCCCCCAGGTGTCCAGGAAACTGTTCCCTGACTCTTCTCCCTCACCACCCTCTATCGGAAAGAATGAAAGATGTGTTTCCTTTGAACTCTCTTAACCTTAGACAGAGACCTGCACATGCCTAGCTGGGGTGGAGGGAAAGGGAAGGAAGGGCACGCTAGGGTCTCCGGTTCCACTTACTATCTGTGACTTCCGGGGCATGGGCGCTGGGGGCTGCATGACCAATGTGCTGGATGACAGAGGACCCAGAGCTTCTGTTCCAGAGGGATCCACAGCTGTCAGGACCAAAGAAATATGCTCCATCAGTCATAACCACAAAACATAGCTAATTTAGAAGCCATAATGCTGTATCTGAAAAGCAGACTTCTTGAGATTTTTTGATTTCTGAGAAAACATCCTTAAAAGCCGATCAACCTGATTCAAATGCAGCCTTTACTACAGAGCACAACAAGCGTCATACAGCTGCCTCGTCCATCCACAGTGCGGAGAGCCGGGGACTCCTGCAGCTCTTGGAACAAGTGAGGCTCTGTTAGGCGAAGGGTGGCTGCTGGATGGAAGGTGGCCAGGCCCTAACACACTGCCCACGTGAGCAGAAATGTCAATCCTGCCCCTACAGAAACACACTGTAGTATTAAATAATTACCAGGTCCTCTTGGCTGGCCTTTGCTGATCAGTGGGGCCGACTTGTTGGCTCTACAAAGAAAGGAAAATACACAATTATGACAGCTGAAGCCTAAACAGCATGCTACCTGCCAGACCTCACCCTTCTCTATAAGGGTCCATCTGTATCCCACTCAGAGATGGGTGACCGTTCAACTGGCTTTTATGTGTGTACTGTCAAATTGGATCTGACTGGTACAGGAGGCGACTGTTCCTCCTTCTTCAGCAGAGCATCTGGTGGATTTGAACCGTGCACCTCTGGGATTGCAGTGCAGTTTCCTGCCACTAGGCCACCAGAGCTCGCCCAACTGGCTTATTTTTTTTTCCTGTTCCTAATAGTTTATTATTAATCACCGAGTACTGTGCCTCCATGAGTGGGCCCTGGGAAGGGGGGGTCACTATTCATTAGTTCTCCCCAACACAGGGGAAGAGTAGTGAAGGAAAAGGCCTAGCCCAAGCCTCGAGGGTCCCAGATCCGAGTTTCAACAGAACAGGGCTGGCCTTTTCCTGGGTCAGTATAGGGCACCCAGGCAGGGGCACAGGTGGGGACAGAGGGCCTAGACTTGTCCTCTGCCTGCCAGTCTAGTTGTGTTTGGAGAAGTATTCCTTGCTGTCATCCACGTTGGGCTTGATCGTGTCACTGCCAGGCTTCCAGCCAGCGGGACATACTTCCCCATGCTCATCTGTGTACTGGAAGGCCTGGACCAGCCACAGAGCCTCTTCCACGGAACGCCCCACAGGCAAGTCATTGACTGTGATCTGACGAAGGATACCCTTGCCATCGATGATAAAAAGGCCCCTGTAAGCAATGCCCTCATCTTCCTTCAGCACACCATAATCAAGGGACAAGCTTCTTGTCACATCTGCCAGCAAGGGGATGTTCAGAGGGCCCAAGCCTCCTTCCTTCCGGGGCGTGTTGATCCAAGCCAGATGCGTGAACTGCGAGTCCACGGAGACCCCCAGCACCTCGCAGCCTAGCTTGCGGAAGTCGTCGGCATGCTCGCTGAAGGCGATGATCTCGGTGGGGCACACGAAGGTGAAGTCCAGCGGGTAGAAAAAGAGCACCACGTACTTCCCTTTGTAGTCGGAAAGCTTCACCTCCTTGAAAGCGCCATCCACCACTGCAGTGGCCTGGAAGCTGGGGGCGGGCTTTCCGATGTGTGCGTTGCCGGAGGCCATGACTGAAAGCTGCGTGGGGTAAGGCCAGAAACGAGGACAGGAGCAGCGCAGACTCACGTTCTCGGTGTCTCCAACTGGCTTATTTTAAAAACAGTGTTAGCATCAAAGTTCCAGGGCACTCTGGTGGGGTAGTCTTGTGGGGATGTGCTGCTAACCCAAAGGGGCCTCTCTGCTGCTTCAACAACTCTTCACCCGTCTTACAACATGAAAACAGCCACAGGCAATGTGTAAACGAATGACTGTGGCCATGTTCCCAAAAGAAGCTTTATTTATTATGTATCCTGAAATTTAAATGTCCCATTTTTTTTAATTT